TCTCAGTATGTGCTAAGTGTGTCACAGCCAATTAAATGCTTTAGAAGTGTTGTCATATGTAAAACACAGCAGCCAATTTTCTCACTGCAAACTTTTGCATATAGCATTGTGATGTTGACCTTATCATCTCTTTTTAACTGAGGGATAACTGAGGTGACTGAGGGATAAACAGTTGGCAGGAGTACAGGAAGAGACCCGCAATTTCGTTGAACAATCACAGATTGTTTGCATGCCACCTGACCACAGGTTGGACTGGAGCATGCCACCAGAAAAAAAGACCATCTCCACCAGTTCAGTTCTCCATCTATGTTAGTTTCCTGAAAAGATAGTGTTTAAGTCAGTATTGGCTGAAGAACAAGGCAAAGTCATGCCACAGAATGAGTTGGCACTTCCAGCAATGTCGTGGCCAGCACCTCATGGAGACGGAGTTGAAACTACATGGTTAGAAAGAGTTGACGATCAGATCTAAGTTGTACAAGCTGATTTAGCCCCAGGAATGGTATCAACAACCCCTCCCTGTCAATCTCCAGCCCAACTCTGGTCTGCTCCAAGAGCCAGGGCTAAGAGATAAATAGTTAACAATGCCTTTGGCCACAGTGTAATGGCAATGTCACTAGAGTTACATTGACCTTTTCCATTTTTTTATACATTTCATACTATTCAGAGAGGCTGACATGTTGTCCTGGGTCATAGTGCCTCACAAGGCACATGGACCTTGCAGATACAGAAGAACATAGCTGGTACAGAAATCAGCACATTCTGCTCTGGTGTCACATATTAAACAGGGCCAAAGTTGGCTATGGATTCAGTAGTTGGTGTCTAGACACACTGATCCCAGATGGTCGCATCTCTCCTGTCAATGGGACCTCATGAATCTCAATCTGAGTCACCCTCTCATGGTGTCCATGAAATATTATGCAATAGGAATAGTGTGTAGATGATTAAATCAGGGACATAAGTCCTGTATATTGAAGAGATGTACAATTCTTTCATAATGCTTGTAATGCATGAATTTATTCAATGGCTTTGCACATTAGAAGATGTGTGTGTGATTTCAATCAGAAATTTGATTCTATCAATCACTATGTGTTTAGTTCATTTCAATTTTCGCTCACCCATCTCACTGAATAAAAGTAAATTTGATGATTAATTGATTCTAGTTCCAGTTTAATTTTCGTTTTGATGCTGAAGTGCTGTTAGAATTATTGCAGGGAGAAAGCAACTTAGAACAGAGGGAATTAGATAGCGTTTTGCCGACAGTGTGGTTAAGTAGGACAAAGGTGTCATGTTCGTTGCCTCCCTGATGGTACTATTGAGTACATGATTCAGGTGGAATACAACTAGTAGCTTAAAGCCAGGACTAGTTTTTGATATCCAACATGTGCTGTTAGCTGGTTTCAACTTGGGAACAATGACAGACTCAACTGTGATGTATCTTCTATGCCCCAAAGTAAAAAAAAAATGTCATCACCATCTTAAAGAACTTGCATTTAAATAGAACCTTGTCATCTTTAGGACAACCCAAAACATCTTTGCAAGCAATCAATCTTCTTTTGCTTTGGAATGTAGTCATTGTTCCATTGATAAACACAGCAATCATCTAAGGTCCCACAAATTGCAGTTTAGAATAGAATCCCTACAGTGCAGATAGAGGCCATTCAACCCATCGCATCTGCACCAGCCCTCCAAAGAACATCTGACCCAGAACCACAAACCTGCCCTATCCCTGCATTTCCCATGGCTAATCCACCTGACCTCCACATCCCTGAACACTACAGAGCAATTTAGAATAGCCGAATCACCTAACCTGCACATCTTTGGATTGTAGGAGGAAGCTGGAGCAAACCCACACAGACATGGGGACAATGTGCAAACTCCACACAGACAGTCTCCCAAGGCTGGAATTGAACCCAAGTCCCTAGTGCTGTGAGACATCAGTGCCAACCACTGTGCCACTGGAATAAATGACCTATTTTTGATGGTGTTGGTTAAAGGAAGAATTTGGGCTCTTCTACATGGTGGAAGAGTCACACCAGCCCGAGACTGGTCGAGGTTCCTCAGGCACAGCTCCTTGGGCAGTGGGGCAGGCACAATGGGTAGGTTTAGCCTCACTTGTTTAAATTCCATCCATTACTTAGGGAAGAAAATATCATCATTCTTTTATATTGTGCTTCTCATATACCTGGGCTGTTTCCCAAAACACAAGTTACATTGGAAATAGTTTTGGGGAGAGATTGATGGTTATTGGTAATGTTACTGAATTAGTCAACCAGAAGCCTAGGTGAATGTTCTGGGATACATGACATTCAAGTAACATCTGGCAGAATTTAAATTCTGTTCTTAAATCTGGAAATATAAAGCTAATCTCCATATTGGTGACCATGATGCTATCATTGTGATTGGAGTAAAATCCATCTGGTTCACTAACATCCTTTAAGGAAGGAAATCTGCCTTCCTTACCTGGTCTGACTTAAATGTGACTCTAGACCCCAACAATGTAGTGATTTTTAACATCCTCTGATATAGCCCTAGGGAGCCACACAGATCAAGGGCAATTAGAAATGCTGGCCTTGGCCAAAATCGCATTAAAAAAAAAAGAATGCAGTCATTGCTATTTTGATATAGCTAATTTGTACACAGCAAAACATAGCGGATAAGAGGAATCCTCAGGTTTTCAGACTTTGTTTAACCTGGCAAAGCAGTCAGAGTACAGTACAAACATGCAATAACAGCAGTCTTCATGAAACATTATTCATTGTCTCACTTTTTCAAAAAAGAAAATAAGATGACACAAAGTGAGAAGTGACTATTCAGCTTCTGCAAGTCCATTGTTCTTGTTCTCTAACTACACATGCAACACTACTTTGAACAACCCACATAGGTTCTGCCTTTGCTACTTCCTCCTGGTTGGATTATTCCAAAACACTTCACTGTCTTTTCATTAAATGAGACTCTCGGTCTCATAGAGTCATACAGCATGGAAACAAATTCTTCGGTCCAACCAGTCCATGCCGAACATAATCCCAAACGGAACATTTCCCACCTGCCTGCTCCTGGCTCATGTCCCTCCAAACCTTATAAAAACCAAAAGAACTGCGGATGCTGTAAATCAGGAACAAAAACAAACTTACTGGAGAAAACAGAGTTAACGTTTCCGGTCTGGTGACCCTTCCTCAGAACTGACCCTTCTGAGGAAGGGTCACCGGACCCGAAACATTAACTCTGTTTCTCCAGCTGCCATACCTGCTGAGCTTTTCCAGCAACTTTGTTTTTGTCCCTCCAAACCTTTCCTATTTATGTACCTTGACATGGTCTGATCTCACCATTTTTCCCTCTCATCTGCAGCATTTCAAATTAACCTGCTCCTTCGCAGCTTCTGCTCCACTGGCGAAATTTGAAGGGGAAATTTGATGAATCTGCCCTAATTTCAGGCAATGGACCTTTGGCTGTTTAATGTTTGAAGTGTCAAGTTGTACAGGTGCAGTACTTGTACCTTCCAGCAGATGGAGCATTGTTAGGCATTAAACAAGTTTGCATAATGGAAACACTGCAGTGGGACCAGCTGAGTATGGGACGCTGAGTTCACACAAAGGGAAAGGATTGACAACAAGGTGCAGGGCTGGATGAACACAGCAGGCCAAGCAGCATCATAGGAGCAGAGAGGCTGACGTTTCGGGCCTAGACCCTTCATCAGAAAAGCTTTTCTGATGAAGGGTCTAGGCCCGAAACGTC